CCACCCCCACCTGGCCCCCACCTCTGGTAACCACCTTTATGCTCTCTGTTTCTATGAGATCAACTTTTTTAGATTCCTGGAGGGCGTTATGCTAAGTGAAATAAGCCAGGCACAGAAAGACAAATACTGGTATGATCTCACTAAAAAAGTTGATCTTATAGAAATAGAGAGTAGAAAGGTGATTAATGATCTTTTGATGGGAAAAAAAGGCAGTCTGTAAACCATGCTAGGCATAGGAGATACAATGACAAGTGATATACAGCTCTACCCTTACAAACAAGACAGATATGTAAGATAAACAAATACGGTAAAATGAAAGACTAATGACAATAAACATTAAAAAAACGTGATAGACAAAAGGCAAAGGGGAATGAATGAAACTGGAGTTAAACAAAGAATGGACAGGAGAGTAGGAGAATGGGTTGGATAAGGGAGAGTGTTACAGGGGTTAAGAAGAGTAGCAGGGTAGTTTAAATGTTATGAGCAGTATTAATGAGCAAGGGTGTGTAGTGAGGGGAGAGTTGTTCACTAAGGGAAAAGGGATTTGTGATATCATTGCCTTCTCGGTGTTGATGTTTGAAGACAAAACTATTGGGGCCAATTTGTCTTGGTTTTTTTTTCATGTTTACACATTTAGTTCCAAGTTAGAGAAACTGAGATGTAATTTTTAAAAAAGACTATAAATGCAAACCTATAAAGATGAAAATTCTATTGCAAACCAAATGATATATTATTTGCTGGTAATGTGTGGTTTTGTATATTGCCATTTTGTATATTCTTCCTACCTTTTACAAAATAGCATTCAGCTGGCACACCCAAATAATAAACCTTTTAAAATTTTGAGATTTTCAAGCTGTATTGCATAACACATATTGAGATGATATCATCAATTGTATTGGGTTTTGGCAGAGAGGGGCTATTTATTTAATTAGGAATCCTCCCATGTTAGAGCTGAAAGAGACTTTAAATAAAATCAAGTGATACTATAACTATAAAAGTGCTTTGTAAAATGCAAACTGTTTTCTAGGTGCAAGGTAATATCATGTCATGCAAACTTTCCTTGCTTATGTATGAATAAACTGAAATTCATAAAGGTAAAGTGAGTTTTTTCAATCATGTGGCTAGTAATAGGCAGGACTAGAAATCAAGTATCTTTATCCTAGTTTACTCTTTGTTTGCTACAGAGCAAATTCTTAGAAAAATATAACTAACTGGCATAAAAATAAATAGAAACCCCAAATAGCTCTCTAACTATTAAAGGAATTGAATCAGAGGTTTAAAACTTTCCCATAAAGAAAATATCAGGCACACATTATTTTACAGGCAGATTTTACCAAATATTTGAGGAATATATTATTACAAGCTATTCTAGAGAATAGACTAAGAGGACATGCTCTCTAGCTTATTTTTTGCTACCAATATAACATTGATAATTAAAACCAAAGAATAATATGAAAGAGGAAAATTATAGAATAGCTTTAGCCATGAACATATATACAGATATTCTGAATAAAATATAAGCAAACTGAATTAATTTATATGTAAAAAAAAAAGATCGTGCACTGTGACCATGTTGCATTTTCCCCCAGCAATACGAAGTTGGCTTTACATATAAAAATGTGTCACTCACCACACTAATAGATTAAAGGAAATAATGATCATCTTAGTAGGCACACGAAAAGTGTTTCTTAAAATTTTACACCCATTTATTAATTTTAAAAAGAAAATAGCAAGAGAAGGAACCTTCCGTAACTTGATAAAGGATACTTGCAAACACAGAGCAAAACAGCAAACACAATTCTTAATGGAAAAAATTTAAAAGCACTCCTTTTTTAAATGGGGAACATGGATGCCTCCTATTGCAACTGTTTCTGTTTAATGTTGTACTGGCTGTCCCAGCCAGTATGAGAAGACAAAATGCATTAAAGGTATTAGGATTTTAAAGAAAAACATAAAACTCTCATTATTTACAAATTAAATTATTTTCTACACTGAAAATTCAAAAACATAAAGTATTACAAATAATAAGATATTGGTAAAGCTAGGTATGAGATCAATTCAAAAGCCAACTTATTTTGTACACTCCAATAATAAAAAATTAGAAATTATAATTTTATTTATTTATTTATTTTTATTTGTTTGTTTCTTTGTTTGTTTGCTTTTTTTAAATTTTATTTTGTCAATATACAATGTGGTTGATAATTGTGGCCAATTACCGAAACCTCCCTCCCTCCTGCCCCTCCCCCCTCCCTCCCAACAATGACCTTTCTGTTTGCTTGTGCTATCAACTTCAAGGAATTGTAATTGTTTTCTCTTCTTCCCTCCCGGCTTTTTTGTGTATTTATTTATTTATTTTTAGCTCCCACAAATAAGTGAGAACATGTGATATTTCTCTTTCTGTGCCTAACTTGTTTCACTTAGTTTAAATCTCTCCAGGTCCATCCATGTCGTTGCAATTGGCAGCATTTCATCCTTTTTTATAGCTGGGTAGTATTCCATTGTGTAGATATACCACATTTTCTGTATCCAGTCATCTGATGATGGACATTTGGGCTGGTTACAACTCTTAGCTATTGTAAAGAGTGCTGCAA